GTGGTTGATGGTCATTAGGCAAACTACATATCGATAATTAATCGCAATTAAAGATAGAAAGTTTTACAAAAGCATGGTCCGCGCCACACGATCAAATCGAAATAACTTTAACGCCAAACTAACTTTCTCTTCAACATTTTAAGATCTATTAATTATATACAAAAGAAAAACAAATACAATCGCATCTACAGCTTCTAATCGATAGGAATGGCGTTCAAATTTGCCCAGTCGCTAGCGGTCACATAATGTTCCGTAAAGAAAACCTTCCGCTACTTATTGCAAAAGTGGGTTATCAAGTAGTACTTTTGCTCGGGTACCGCATTTCACTCCAACAGCCGTTAGTGCCGGCTTCAGCAAGACAAAGAAACCGAGTCCGAAGAAAGTATTTTACTTTCGTCGCTTCGTGTCACTTTCTCGAAAACTTAACCGATTGAGTATGCGATGGCCACTAATGAGGTTTCGACCACCGGGTACTTTATCGGCAATTAAATATGCTGCGCAAATACCGCCCATTACACCATAATATGGCAATAATTGGCACTTAAATAGCGATTTTCAGGGGCATAAACAAAATTGTTGTCGGTGCCACACCGAAACAATTCAGTTACCCATCGATTTCACAGGCGTATTGTTGCAGTTAAACTACCATTGATATTCTTCAGAAGATAATGGGGCTCGGTGGTCATCAAGAAACCGATGTGTACATCAGCACGCTCCCAGAGGAGGAGAAAAAGCGGGCCCTGGACGAGTTGCGGGAGGACGACAATGTGAGGGAACAATCGCTGCAGCAAATGCGGGAGTGGATCAACAAGCATCCGAATATAAAAAAGTGCCGAACAGGTAATTAATCATCATTCTCGGTCCATTTGGGGTAACTTTCACCGGTCGATGATGTCACGGAATCGTAAACATCTAGTTCAATGGCGTGCACAGCACGCTTTATAATAATTAAATATTGTCGGAGACTGCAAAAAAATCCATCAATCACCAACATCTCACTCTTCCCTGTTGCAGATGCCCCGTTTCTCTTGCGCTTTCTTCGCACAAAGAAATTCAGCGTTCCACAGGCTTGCGAAATGCTGGAACGATATCTGACCATCAGGCAGCTGTACCCACAGTGGTTCCGAAACTTAGACTCCGAAGACAAAGACTTGGCCGAGATCATTGAGGCCGGGTACTTGGTGCCGCTCTTGGATAGAGAAGACGGAAGATTGGTGAGTGCGAACCGATTGCTCCAGAACCCAGAAGAAGCTCACTGAAGAGTTGCAGGTTTTGTTTAGTTGCGCTGGAAAATTCGATCCTCACAAGTACACGTCGGCGCACATGGTGCGGGTGCACAGTCTCGTCACTGAGGCGCTTATGGACGAGGAGGTTAATCAAATCAATGGCTACACGTATATTAACGATGAGAGCGGCTTCCAGATGGCCCACATATCCTTGTGGAGTTTGACTGATGTCAGGAATATTCTCAGATGCATCCAGGTATAACGGCACAGATCGAATCAGTGACAAAATTTGACCCAAGGTTTTTAGAACACTACCCCCATGAGGCACAAGGCTAATCACTTCTTGAACATTTCATCAAGCGCCATCAGGCTGATCGAATTTGCCGTATCCCTGTTGAACGAAAAGTTGAAGAATAGAATTTTTGTAAGTCCCCAGTGTGGTGTTGGTGTTGAGGCAATGATAAAAAACTGGTTTTTTGCCGCAGATGTACAAGTCGGTTGATGAACTCTACCAGAAAGTAAGCAAGAAAATTCTGCCGAAGGAATATGGGGGTTCCGTGCCGATGAGTGAGTTGGTCCAAAAGTTCAAGGTCCTATTGAAAGACCGACGTGAAGCTATTCTCGCTTTGGACGACATGTACATAGAGATCGACGAAAAAACCTGCCCTCTGATCTCTGAAATGAATGAAGAATTAGGTATTGGACTAGACGGATCTTTCAAGCGGTTGACGGTGGATTGATGTTGGCGCTTCCGTAGATCATCATTTCTAATACCAAATAATAACCCTCCTGAACGTCTCTGAGTGTAGGCCAGCATCACTATGCTTGCTTCATCATTTTTAATGTTATACTGCTTGATTTCCTGCTAGTGAATAATGTGATAAGCATATAATATTTCGTACGTAGTTTGTTGCGTTTTGTTGTTTTAGTCTTAATTTTAAATGTTGCCCGGTGGAAATTAGTTACCAAGTTTATTGACACTGTTTCAGGCAGCCAATGTTTAATGGTTTAAGTGTTTTATTTTAATATGCGTATTTATAGGACGGTTCTTAAATAAATATCTGTTCATACGTTATAGGTTTTCTCATACATAGTCCAAGTGTGTCGCTTCATTATCTACCAAATCAAGTGGGTTTTTATTCTAGGGTGACCTGCATGCATAGGTACTAAATGTGTAGGTTTAGCCCTACTATCAGGTATTTTAAAACAAATAGTATTCCATAATGTTCAATTAATAGGCATTTTGTGGACCCCTGCAAGCTTTGGTGTTTGGATAATCAGGCGTGCCAACGAGTAGATCGGAGCAACTAAGCGATGCCCTGGATGAAGACGATCATGCTCAGCAATCCCACGCTCAGTGTAAAACTTATCGGTGCGGCACTTCTCACGAACAATCCAAATACAACAACGTTATTGACGGGCACCGTCATATTAAAATTTACTCCCACTGTCTCGTTTGTTCTGCTTTGTTGGTAGGTAGCGTTGTACGCGGGCTCCAAGTTACCACGTAAACTTATTGGCCGGTAAAATTCCTCATCCCGAGCCTCCCATTGGCCCCAGACGGTGATTTGGCGGAACACGGTGGCATACGCAACTAGAGGACGCACTCCACAAGAGGCGACATCCTGGTTGAGACAAGCTACGACTGCGCAAAACTTATCCGCAAACTGGGAGCCTCCATTAAAAGCCACTAATCTGAAACCAGTTGATATTGAAGAATAGGTTCACATGTAGATGACTGTCAGTCATATACCTATACACTTCGGTTGAGTTTTCTGCTACGGAAATGTTAAAGTTGCAGCAAAAGTTGTCGTGACAAACCTGCTGCGCAGAATTGGCGGTTGACAGGTTTAAGGTCTGGAATACGTACGACTCATAATCGAAGACGGTTTGGTTTCGGTAGTTGGCCAGACTGTAGACGGCCGGATCAAAGTCAGTGTTGCTCGAAACCTAAAATGCAAGTTTTTCAATATGCTCAATTGTATATGCTTTCCTGACTGTTTCAATTCCAAATCAAATCTATTCCTGGGTTTCAGTCATTTATTGTCTCTATTTATTAATCAAAATACGTTTCGGTGTATTTTTCCACCATC